CAGCTTGGGGGTCCCTCCCCCAACCAAGGAGCCCCCAGACAGGTCGAGGGTCCCCCCTTGTCCCCCCCCGTGGCCGTACCGGCTGTTGAGGTGGTCCTGGCACGCTCGGACCTCCTCGGAGCTGGGGTGGCCCCCGTCCACCAGCTGCTGCACCACCTGGTTGACGTCCAGGATGCGCCCCATGACGCTGTTCATCTCCTGGTCCAGGCTCTCAAACCTGGGCGGGGGGACACGGGGAAGGACCCCCCAGGGTGAGGGACCACCGGGGGTGAGGAACCACGGGGGTGAGGGATAACAGGATGAGGGACCACCAGGGGATGAGGGACCATGAAGGGATGAGGGATAACAAGGGATGAGGGACCACCAGGGGTGAGGGACCACCGGGGATGAGGGACAACAAGGGGTGAGGGACCACCGGGGGTGAGGGATAACAAGGGATGAGGGACCACCAGGGGTGAGGGACCACCGGGGATGAGGGACAACAAGGGGTGAGGGACCACCAGGGGTGAGGGATAACAGGGGATGAGGGACCAACAAGGGATGAGGGACCATGAAGGGATGAGGGACAACAAGGGATGAAGGACCACCAAGAGATGAAGGACCACCAGGGGATGAGGGACCACCAGGGGATGAAGGACCACCAAGGGATGAGGGACCACCAAGGGATGAGGGACAACAAGGGATGAAGGACAACAAGGGATAAGAGACCACCAAGGGATGAGGGACCACCGAGGGATGAAGGACCAACAAGGGATGAGGGACCACCAGGGGATGAGAGACCACCAGGGGATGAAGGACCATCGAGGGATGAAGGACCACCAAAGCATGAAGGACCACCAAGAGATGAAGGACCACCAGGGGATGAGGGACCACCAGGGAATGAGGGACCATGAAGAGATGAGGGACCACCAAGGGATGAAGGACCATCAAGAGATGAAAGACAACAACAAATGAAGGACAACAAGGGATGAAGGACCACCAAGGCATGAAGGACCACCAAGAGATGAAGGACCACCAGGGGATGAGGGACCACTAAGGATAAAGGACCATCAGGGAATGAGGAACCATGAAGGGATGAAGGACCACCAAGGGATGAAGGACGACCGAGGGATGAAAGACAACAACGAATGAGGGACAACAAAGGATGAAGGACCACCAAGGGATGAGGGACAACAAAGAATGAGGGACCACCAAGGGATGAGGGACAACAAGGGATGAAGGACTACCAAGGGATGAAGGACCACCAAGGGACCCAGGTGCTTGTCCCCCCCTTCCATGGTCCGCCAAGGCCTCAGCTTGGCCATTCCATGGTCCATCAAGACCTTGGCTTGACCCTTCTTCCGCGGTCCACCGCGACCTGAGCTTGGCCACTCCGTTGGGTTCTGGAGCCAACCCACCTGTGCTGGACCACCTCGACCTCATCCAGCTCCTCGGGCACCTCCATCTTCTCCAGCCACTGCTCCTTCTCGTCCACCCACACCTCGCAGGCGTGCACCTCGCTGAACATCCTGTAGACGGCCAGCGCGTCCTGCAGCCACTGCGTCCTCAGCACGGCCACCTCGGCCACCTCCCCGTAGAGCTGCTCCACCTCCACCACCCGGATCTGCACGTCCACCCCTTGCCG